TCAAGATTTTTATGGTTATATTCCTAAGTATATGTTTTATTCATGATAAAAATTTTAATACATATTAGTATATTATAATTTAGTACAATCTTGTATGCAGTTTTTTTATTTAATCCCGTATTATATTCTAAATTTAGATCAGCAGTTAGTACTACAATTTTTTATATATCGTGATTGGCTAACTGAATTTTAAATCTATGATATAAGTGTTTGCACAATACATAGGTTATCAATATTCTAATTTTATCACAATACAAAATTTTGATTAATCATTGATATTTACAAATAAAAAATTTGCTTCTAAGCCCTGATTTGCTAGGCAACAACCCATATGTTCTTCATGTAAATAGAGTCATCTGATCAAACAATAGATTTTTAATATGAGAATTTTTACTTTAATATAAAAATAATTTTATATATAGTTATGTCAAGTAAATAACTAATAATGAATTGTATTACTTCTAAATTACTCAGAGCTCAACTAGATTCTAATACTCATGCCTATGTTTATACCTATGCTGTGTCTTAGTGCTCCTACAAACTGGACCCGAACCAGACTTTAGTCAAGTCTGAGTCTGGTCTGATTTTCGGACTGAACTTAGACTTTTATATTCAGACTTTTTAGTCAAGTCTGAGTTTGGTCCAGGTCTGGTCCGAAGTCTGCAGACTAGTCTAAGTCTGAATGTATTTATATGTATATTTGGTACTAACAAGTTAGTAGTTGGACCATTAAACCTAGGTATATTTAAAATTTTTTTCATATCATATATCTTGCTAGTATATAAAACTTGTAGATATATTTGCTTGATCGATTCTGGTTTAATCTTATTAGCCTCCAAAATTTGTTTTTTTGATTTCATTATTTTCTTTCTGATTCATTTCATCTAGCTAATGTGTACTTATTTCAATAATCTCTGTTGCAGTAGGTTGCTTCTTTATCCATACACTTCATGGCTAATTTAATATAATAATCTGGTCCTAAACACAAGATCACCATTAAACGGAATTCTATCAAATGCTTTTTGTCATGTCGAAATCTCTGTTGTGATAACTCCAAAGCTATAAATATCTTATGCTAGAGTGTACGGTTGTTTCACTAAAACCTTAAGTGCTATATATAGCAGAATTCCACAAGTTTTTCTTTTACATTTTTAGAAATTCCAAGGTCTGTAATATATGCATTATGCAAATTATCTTGCAAAATATTTCTGCTGTGTAAATCTCTGTGAACAAGTTCTTGTAAATGAATCGACTCCATATCTTAAGCTATACAGTACAAGATATTCAATTTATCTTTCTATTCTAGTTGTGATACTTGTAATATTTCTGCTGTGTAAATCTCTGTAAACAGGTTTTTGCGAATAAATCGACTTCAGATCCAAAGCTATACAGTACAAGATATTCAATTTATCTTTCCATTCCAGTTGTAATACTTGTACAAGATTTTGTCACAACGTTCCTTTTAATGCATATTCCATAACAATAATGTTATCACTATGCCAATTTCTTGATACTCCAATACATTCCAAGATAATGGATTCTTGTAACCAATTTCACAATAATTTTTTAATTTGTGAATAAATTCTTGCTTGCTTTCGTTTGAATTATGAATCACTTTAAGTATATAACTATTCCATATATTATTAACTCTATCGAACCATTCTGCATAAGCTCATTATAATTAATCCAAGCTAATTTAAATCTCTCATCGTCTAATATTTTCTTAAGTTCTGGACTGATATGTTAGGTAATTCATTAGCAGATTTTTTATAGTATTTAAATGCTTTATTATGATTTGACCAACTCACCAACATTATATTTTGCAGTGGTATTGCTCTAATCAGCAGATTTCTTACAATGTCTAAATGATTTTTGGAGTTTATTTCTACTCCAATTCCATAGTGGTAACAAAGACCAACATAATTAATTGCTGCCGAATTACCTATCTTGGCTAATAAATAGATCACAAAATAACATGAGAAACTGTCGATGTTATACGATTGAACTTCATCTGGTGTGCACCATATAAAAAAATTAATTTACAATACCAGATCATTCCGCTAGTACATGTTATGATTATAATCCTGCATTATTTTATTATAATAAAAATGAGATTATAATCATAATATATACTAGCAAAACGATTTGGTATTGTAATTTGATTTTTTTATATGCTACACACCAGAGAAGGTTCAGTCATATAACATTAACAGTTCCTCCTGTTTTACGAAGTTAATGTTTATCTAAAGTGATACAAAAGATATAGCTTATTGAACTGCTAGATTACCCAGATAATAACAGGTCCAAGCACTAGGTCCAAAGTTCAAAAATAAATATACATATGTACAATAAATTCAGACTCGAACTAGTTTGCAAACTTTGGACCAGACCCAAACCGAACTCATAATTAAGTTTGAGTCTGGTCTGAAGTTCGAAACTAGTGAAATTTTGAGTCTGAGTCTGGTTCGATCCCAAACCAGACTCAGAACGAACCAGACCCAGACCAGACCTAGGAGCACTAGTTATATCTATGTTTGTGCCAGTGCCTTTTATTAAGCATAGGCATATGCCAAATCTGCAGATCTCTAGTATTATATATAAAATAGTATAGTATATTCATAAAGAATTTAATTATATATGACCTTATAAAAATTTTACTATAATTAAAAGTATACATATGTTTCAGAATTATGTTTTATATAGGGAAAAAAAAAACTAATATAAAGTGAGTCTATATAATGGTTTAACTAAATTCAAGAAGACCATTCTAAAAAGAAAAAAAAAAGTAAAATTTCAAAAAAAGCAAATTTAAAAGAAAGAGAAAAACAAAAAAATAAAAATTAGCTTAGAAAAAAAAAGAAAAAAAAATCTTAAAAAAAAAAAAAATCTTATTTCTAATTTTCTTTAGCATCAATTTTCCTTCACTTCAATTTTTTTTCACTTCAATTTTTCTTTGGCATCAATTTTTCTTTAGTATTGATTTTTTTTTGACATTGATTTTCAATTTGCTATTCCATTAGAAAATTTAATTTCAAAAAGAAAATGAATGAATACTAGTAACAGTATCTCAAAAATAAAATTTAGAAATGTTTAAAAAAATAAAGATTTTGTAAATTGTATACTCTTGCAAATTAAGATTTTACAAGATAGCTTTATTATAGCGATATTAAAACTATCACTATTATTTCAACCCTTTTTCCTATATGCAATTATACATACAATTTGTGAATTTAGCTCACGTTGACAATGTTTTTTGATAAATAAATTATTATAATTTAAGTTATATAACAATAGCAATGACTGTATTTTTCACATTATTATAAGAATTCTTGATATTTAGATCATATAAAGTTAATTAGGTTTTCTCATAACTCAGCCAAATCCATTTTTTAACAATTTATTATAAATGCTTCCAAGTAAGTTTTTGAAAAACAAGATTGAAATAATCTAAATTTTGTTTTTAGTTATAGAAATTTTATTTTTATTTTATTTTTTTTCTTTCTGCTTTGAAAAAATTTTTTGACATAATATCATTTTTGAACTCTTAACATTATAAAATATAAAAATATAATTTAATATTTATCACTAATCTTGTACCTTTTATGATACTTCAATATTTGTTATTTATTAATTAGTTATACTTTGTATCAGATATAAATATAGTATGACTAGATATTAATTTTTTACATACTCTTTTTGTAATTGACAAATTAATTTTAATATATATGTTATATAATTAGAATCAGAAAAACTAGATATTGTTTAAAAACAAACCTATATATTTAATAACAAGTTTTGCTAATAAACAATAGTTCCTTCCAAGAGTCATATTGCATACTTTCTCTTAGAAGATAAATCAAGAAACATCTCATGCCACTATAAAATACTTTCTCATTATAACTTATTTTGGCCTACACTTGCACAATTAATTGAGTATTTCTTGTTTATAATTTAACTAGATTTCTTGTTGACTATATATACAGAAAAAATTTTATACAAACTCTATCTAATAAATTTATACTTTGTAAACAATAATATAAAATTACTTTTAGAATATTTAATATTGAACTGTAACTACAGCACAAAAAAAAATAAAATAATTTTTAACTCACATTTTATATATTTAGCAATCTTTTAAATTATTTTACTAACAAACTTAGTTACTATATTACCAAAACTTTTTCAATTTTGATTTTGGTTTTTGGATAAACCTATTTTTTTTTATAGTTTAAGCTTAGTTTACATAATTTTCAGATTTGGCTATAATAAAATATTTATAACTTGAATAGCTATTCAAAATAAACTAATCTATTAGTAATAAAAAATAAAAGCAAAAATTAGAAAAATTTAAAAAATTCTTTAACTACCTGCTCTATTTTTTTTATTCTCAGTTATAGATAAATTTAATATTAAATTGCTACCTTTAACAAATTTATATACAGTACTACTTAAATTTTTTTTGATTATACTTATTTCATTTATATAAAAAAATTCAAGATTATTTTCTCTATATACAAATTGAAATTAGATATCTATAGAGATGGGAATATTGAAAAATCTTGAATAGTTAATATTGGTAAATTATATACATGCTTAATTATTAACTTTTGACATAACCTATTTATAATTCGATCTACTTTACTCATTTTTTCTACTGTTTTTCTAAAGTCTAAATGAATTTTCTAAAGATTGTGAACAAAATATAAAACAGAAATTTTATCTACAGGTAATTTATAAGGAATCAAGATATCAAAAAGTTTCTAAATATAGCACAATGGTGAAGCAAGTTCATCTATAATACAACATAGAAATTTGTATTTATTTAAAGAAATTGAATATATTTTAAAAGTATCTGTTAAATAAAAAAAAAATAATATCATAAGCTTGTATCAAGAATATATTAATTTTACATAACTTCTCATATAAAAATTCATAATTTAACAAAAATTGAAGATTATTGTTAATAAGTTGTACTTCAATTTTTTGTTTTGAATTATGTCTTAGCCTAAACAATTTATATAGATCATATTTAAATTTTTTCAGATCAATAACAAAAGGGCTACCAGAATTTTCTTTATAAAGTATCACTTGAATAGTATTGTTTACTTCTAAAAGAACCCAGAAGTCTGGTATTTTCAAATCAACTTCTTTTCTAAATTCTGAAGCCAAAGAACCAGACCCCTCTCTGGTAATAAAAAATAAAAATAAAAGATTTAATAAATAATTTATATAATAATAATAATTTAGCCAAATTATTATAAAAGTAAAAAATATATATACTATTGATAATAAATTTGATTATTAGAAAAACTTGTAATTAATTTTAATATTGGGTCAATTACAAGATATCTCTATATACCCTCAGAACAGTTTTTATGAATTTTTCTTTCTTATAAGAAAACTCTTTTTTTAAAAAAAAAAATTAAATAATAAAAATATATATTAATGGATTAGATTTACTTGTACTAAATCTAGTACATTATACTAGATTTAGTATATTTTATAGTCTAGTTATCTATTAATATTAAATAATAATTATATTTTTAAATAATTTTAAAAAAATTTTTAAATGATGAGCAACTAATTTTGAGTTTTTCATAGCTTAAAAATTTATTTTAAAAATTCAATAATTATTCTGTTAATTTTTGCAAAAATTTATATAGTAAAATTTTATATATAAAAAATTTGTAAAATTTCAAACATATATAAAAGTTGTAATAAATTACTTCAATATAATTTTTTTTATTAAAAGTAACTATTTTTTTTTATAACTTTTATTAAGAATTAAAAAAAAATTTTTATATAAAAATTTTTTTTAAAATTATTTAAAAAATTAAAAAAACATATAAAATACTAAAATAGTAATGATTTTCAATTTGTACCACATAAATCTTATAATATAAAGTTGTAATTTTTATTATATAAATAATGATAATTTTTTTATACAATAAGCCCCATGGTATTTTTAATATTATAAACTTTTAATTTTTAAAATTTATTAATAACTTTATAAAATAAATGTATATAAAAATGTACTAATTCTAATACATCAAGAATCACAAATAATCGATATTTAAAAAAAATTATTTTAAAACAATTTTCTTTATAATATTAAAATAAATAATGCCAAACTATTTTAGAATACCTAATAGATTTTTGTATATAAAAATATTTATATATATAATTTTTTAAAAATTTTAATTTATTTTATAAAATGTATTATTTTTAGTACAAAGTAGTAAATCCAAGCCATTAATATCAGAAAATAAATTTAAAACCTGATTACGTACATGATTTTAGTGGTAATACTAGGTGGGTCCTGTGACTATCATTATCAATTTTTTGTTTGGGTAATTTAATACTTAATCATTTTTACATATTTAACATTTAATAATATCCGAGACGGCTAAGGTTAGCAATTAGGTGGCCGGATTTTGTATTGCCGGTAATTTCTAAATTAAGGTTAGATTTTCATATTTGCTCAACAAATAATTCATCATTACAAGTGTAACTTGATAGTCCTGTGTTTGTCGTATTTTGATTCTATATGCTACGCCA